GTTCAGGTGACATGTGGGGAAGATTCTGGACCAACCTGTATCCTCTGTCAGTCCCCTACCCTGACAAACCAGACATCGACGTCAGCAACACTATGGTGCAGCAGGTGCAGTGCCAGTAATATTTCAATAAAAATACTCCAGTCCATCTCAGCCACTCGTAAAATAAATAAATAAATGACATTCTCTTCATGTAGTGAATATCTTCTGGAATTTCAGGGCTGGGATGAAATGCGTTTCTTTAAGGAAGCAGAGAAGTTCTTTATGTCTGTGGGACTATACGAGATGTTTGACAACTTCTGGACTAACTCCATGCTGGTGAAGCCCAATGATGGACGGAACGTAGTCTGCCACCCCACCGCCTGGGACATGGGAAACAGAGAGGACTTCAGGTGGGAGGAAGTCAAAAACATCCTCATATACTCACACACATCCACACAGATTTAGGTCCCCAATGCTTTTAACAGCATTGAAAACACAAACGTAGTTGAGAAAGTGACGTTGATTAATTGCTGACTCACTTTTTCCTGCTGATAAAGACAATCAAAGTCTGGATTGCAAAATCCCAGTAAGTCACAGTGATAACATTTGCATGAGCGTAAAATATTATATTTTATCACTCTACTTGTATCTGTCTGGGTAAATATTGCTGAAGTAAATCTCACCATAAAAATGATTGTGTTTATCAGACTGAGCCCATCAGGAGCGTGTTTATTGCGCAGATTGTTTTATTGCTCCACATATAAATGCATCACCCTGCGTAACTGCTGACCTCCACACTTCTGCTGCTGCGTCTCCAGGATAAAAATGTGCACCAAGGTCAACATGGACGACTTCCTCACCGTGCACCACGAGATGGGCCACAACCAGTACCAGATGGCTTACCGCAACCTGTCCTACATCTTGAGGGACGGAGCTAACGAAGGTTTCCACGAGGCCGTCGGAGAAATCATGTCCCTCTCTGCTGCCACGCCCAAACACCTGCAGAGTCTGGGACTTCTCCCTAGTGACTTCGTTTATGACAGTGGTATGTTCTGTAAATGTTGACCCAGACACAAAATGAACAGGGTTTTTTTTTTTAACTAAAGCAAAAAAAAAGTTAATTTTCTTTTAGTAATATAAACCCCAGGAAGAAAAATCACCTCAATCTGCATTTCTTCTTTTAAAAATGTAATTTTATTGAGGCACATGTCCTTTTAGATGATAAAGATGATAAAGAATTCAAGTTGGTGGAAACCTCAGAGACAAAACTTCTTACTTTAGATATGTTTAATAAAACTTTAGGTTCCCACAAAACCTCACATTAAATGAGTGTTGCCTCTCTATTGCCTCTCTAGAGGCCTTGTTAAAAATAGCTTCAGCAACACTGAAAGTGTCAGAATAACATAACCTGTCTATATGTATGACATCATTTATGTGCCATAAAGGTTAATGAGAACATAGTGTTAAATCATTCTTATTTTAGCAGCAAATCTATGTAAATGCACACAGATGCAACCTTGACAGAAAGGTCTTTGGTTTGGTTTCTGTGTAGAGTTTGCATGATCACCCAGTTCTTCCTATGTGCAAAAGCCTTTATGTTGGCGTATTTGGCCGGTCTACATCTTCCTTATGCATGTGCATGGATGAGTGTCTGTCCTGTGACCAGGGAGTACCCCACCTCTTGCTCACTGACCTCTGTAGACAGACAGCAGCCTCTCCACAACACCAACCCAGATTAGGCGCATACGTAAATAAAAATAATGAAAATGACGGTTTCTGCCCTTCTTCCACTTTCTGCTCCGATTGTAGAAACTGAGATCAACTTCCTGCTGAAACAGGCTCTCACCATTGTGGCCACGCTGCCCTTCACCTACATGCTGGAGGAGTGGCGCTGGCAGGTGTTTGCAGGGAATATCTCCAAAGACGAATGGATGAAGCGCTGGTGGGAGATGAAGTAAGCCGAAACTATCCGGGCATCTGCCGGCTGATGCTTTCTGCCTTTTGTTTGCTTTCTGAAAATGAACCGCTCATAGTCTAAGGAAATATGTTAAACACGAGAGAAATACCTATTTCTGGTGTTGTGCAGCAGAGCACCTGCCTAGCTGCAGGTCTGTTGGTGTGCGTTAGTGCTGATTCAGCGTTGTCCTAACAGGAGGGAGCTGGTGGGAGTTGTCGAGCCTGTCCCCAGAGACGAAACTTATTGTGACCCGCCTGCTCTGTTCCACGTATCTGGAGACTACTCCTTCATCAGGTTAGCTCCAAAGCTCCGACTGAAACAAATAAATGCTTTACTTTGACTCCCTGTTTTCTTTCCATCCTCTTTGTAGGCAGAGATGTTGTTGATTTAAGCTTTTTAAAATCTTTCACCTGAAAATTACCGTGCAACTTAAAAATGGTCTAAGTTCCTACATACAAAAAATATCCTTAATCTCGTTTTGGGGAGGGAGGGCTTCATGACACACGGGAGAGAAAATGACACGTTTTCTTATTTAGGATAAAAGTGTAACGCAGACTCAGTAAGTGTGTTTGTTCTTTTTGCAGGTATTTCACAAGAACCATCTACCAGTTTCAGTTCCAGAAAGCGCTGTGTGACGCAGCTGGTCACACTGGTGACTTGTCCTCATGTGACATCACTGGTTCCAAGGAAGCAGGAACAAAGCTGAGGTATCTACTTCCTGTTGGTTGTTACCCCCTGCTTGTTGTGCCCCAAGTAAAGCATTTATGTGTTACACATGTTGCAACACACAGGAAAGCTAACATGATTAATGCTGCTTTTCTGTAGAAACATGCTGGAGCTGGGGAGGTCTGAGTCCTGGACCAGGGCTCTGGAAACAATAGCTGGAGATGTAAGAATGGATGCTGGTCCACTGTTGGACTACTTCAAGAAACTGTATGACTGGCTGAAAGAGAATAACCAGAAACACAGCAGAGCTGTTGGCTGGAAGACAACAGTGGATCCATGTGAGTAAAAACTAGATCGCCCTAGAAGTTAGTACTGTTCGCTGAAACAGAGCAAAGTTTTCAGAAAGGAAATGAAAATAACACCTGCCCATCTCCCTCCTAATGAATCACCTGCTTTTTAGCACTTACTTGCCCACTTGTGTCTTATTTACTAATTTTGTTTTAGTGCAACATCTTCTCTCCTGGTTTGTTATTGATCCCACATTCATATCTGTTCTGCAGGCTTTATGCTTGACTAAACTAACTTTTTTAACAAAGAGAGCTTCAGTCTTTGTGACAAAGAAACATTTAAGGAAGCATGAGTATAAAAATGATAGGGACAGAAGAAACACTGGACTTGAACTTGTTTTGACTGATGTAATATTTTCATAACACATTAGTGACTAGAAAGTAGTTTACCTAGAGATACTTCGTGTGACTGATTCGTAGGGAGGCAGGAACATTTTCAGCTGTCAACCAGGTCAGATGTATCATTAAACGTACATGTGTGAAAACAATCATGACTTTATAAGAAATCATGACCTTCTTTTTTTTTTTTCTTTTTTTTTTTTTTTTTACAGATTCACAATATGCCACTAAAGTGAGAATAAGTCTGAAAGCTGCTATGGGAGACGATGCTGTGAGTATTATCCTACCGAGCTGCAACAAACACAAAAAGAGTTCCTCCCTCTCTCTCTCTTTCTCTCTCTCTCTCTCTCTCTCTCTCTTTATATATATGGTACATAAATGGTAATCTAGTGCAAATATCTGTTTTAGTATTCCTGGAACGCCAATGAGATGTACCTCTTCAAGGCCAGCATTGCCTACGCCCTGAGGCAGTACTACAGCCAAAAGGACCAGAACCTTCCTTTCACGTCAGTATCCCGCTCCGTCCTGCGGCTGTTTATGGAAGATAATTAACGCACCTTTTAAAGCGAGGAGTCTCTGCTTTCCGTCGCTTACTCTGAGTGCTTTTTCCGTTCTTCCACTACTAGAGCAGAGAACATTCTCACTTATGAAGAAACGCCCAGGATCTCCTTCTACATGGTGGCCACCCACCCAGGAAACCCCTCTACATACATTCACAAGTCTGACATGGAGGCAGCTGTCAGGTTAGCCACAGACAGATGTACTTTCTTACAGTTACGTAACAGAGTGGAAACACCACCAATCTGGTTTACGCAGGGCTGAAACCAGGTATCGGTCTAACTTTCTTCCTGATATCTTGGCTGATTTCTTTCCTCTTTTCCATAATACCTCACAAGGAAGCAGCATGTATCCATTTACCTTGAATTTTGTAAATTAGCCTATCAGAGTAGACCTAACCAGCTGGACCTTTCCATGTTCTTTAGAGGTATATTAATCTTGATGCTGCATGGAAGTGTCAAATTTTGAAGAAAGCACTAAAAATGCTGAGTAAAATAAAGTTAAGTGTATTTTTATACATTGTAGCCAAATATCTGTTTGCCTACAATTGTAAAACATCGTTTTGCAGGGACATTATGTAACATGCACATTTATCCATCAACCCAAGGTTATATCGGGGTCGAATCAACGAAGCCTTCCAATTGGACGACCACACACTCGAGTTCGTAGGTATCGTACCGACGCTGGCCCCGCCTGTAAAGCAGCCAGTGCAGGTGTGGCTGGTGCTGTTCGGTGTCGTCATGGGACTCACGGTGTTGCTGGGCGCCTACCTCGTCATATCTGGTGTCAAGGAGCGCAAGAAGTGAGTGCTGTTTTCAGCAAACCTCCATTTACGGCAGCCCGTTACTTTTATAGAGGTGAAACATTCTCTGCTTCTTCCGCTTGCAGGAAATCGTCAAAGCCGCCTGAGGAGAATCCTTACAGCATAGATGTCGATGGGATCAGTAACGCTGCCTATGAGGACAATAAGGACGAACAAACTGGACTTTAAGGAGCCAAGGAAGTGAGAAAAGTTGTAGCTCAGGGCGTCTGGTCTCACAGTCAGTTCTGTGTGACTTTTCACAAACATGAAATGTGAATACATGTGAAGATTTCAGTATTGTAAAAATGCTCAGTGGAAAAATGACCGCAAAAACAAGACAGCAGGCTTAACCTCCAAAGACTTTAATATTTATTGACTTTCAATAATGACAATTATTCAGTAATGATGTTGCATGATGTATTCTTAATTTTTTTTTAGTTTTTAAAGCAATTTCTGGTCCAGTGACATTTATATATATTAACATAATGAAGGAGTAAATATTGTTCTAAAATACTGTGAAGCTGTAAACATGATAGGAGTTTGTTAGGAAAATGTAATTTAGAGGTTTTTGTTTTTCTGCCAGTTTCCATTCAAAATTCACCTCATTCACTTCTATTGCCAACTTTGATTTCAACACGTCTTCTTTTCATGTAATTTTTCTAATTTAAAGAGTGTAACATTCTGCCTTCATTCTTGATCTAAATTACTGGTAGATGCAGAATATTCACAATTTGTTTCAGCATGTCATTTCAGTTTTTTTATTTTTTTTTATTTTGGAGTGCAAGAAATTGGATTTAATTTAAATACATTTGTTAGCTATACTAGTAAAACAACGTTTTATCCAATATTTTTTGCTGCTAAAATGAATTGAAATGGGGGAAAGTGCAACAAATGCTGCAATTTATCAAAAATGCAACAATGGTTGTCAACTCTGCTCTGATTGGTCAGACTAAATAAATCCTTCTCTGACCAAGTGTGCAGTTTTGTGTGTGTGTGTGTGTGTGTGTGTGTAAATTAACATACTTCTATGAAAAGGCCATTCTGAAAAATATTATTTATAAGCTCAGTTTTTATGTCTCAGCTGGGAAAGATGCTAGAGTCGTGACATAATAAAAAAACAGGTCTTAAAGAAGCATAACATTGGATTTCATAAGGGCATTTAAGATGACATGAAATTATCTCAAATAAAGCATCACACAAGGATGGACTGGCATATGATCAAAGGGGAAAACCACTCATTTATCATAAACAATGTTGTTTGAAAGTCACTTTTTTTCAGAACAATTTGAAATATTAATCATCGAAAACAGCAAAAAATCTTAAGCTTAGCGATAGTAAAACAACTGTATGACACGTGTCCACCAAAGTCAGAGCTTCACACAGAGACCTTAGTATTTGTCACATAACTAGATGGGCTAAACAAAAACAGCTTCTGTCAGGACTCAACTTATTTACAATGTGGCGGCCAAAAAGTGAGTAAGTATAAGCGTGTAGAGATCAACCCCCGTCTCACTTCTGAATGATAAAGAGGAATGACGAGTCTCCCATTTCTCCATCTGTCTCGGCCATTTCCACCAAATCAGTGTTGGCTATATGGATGAACCAACCTCTGTGGAGTGCAGATTCAAACTTTCGCTGTTTTGTGCGGTCAGCCAACATGTAGAAGACAAAGGAGAAGGTGCAGTCGTCATTCTTGGAGATCTGCCTCAGTCTCTGCTTTTCACACGTCTACGGGCACAAAACGAAAAACTACTATCAGTTTATTGAATTCAAGTTAGAAATAGAGTTATTTGGCTTTGATGACATATTGCATTGATTGGCTCAACAATCACATTCTTGTAACTGTTAGAAGCACAGCTACGGCGGCACAAAAAAACCTCAACTGAGGGAATAAATAATGAAGCATATTTATCTATTTGCAAATATTTAGATATATAAATATCTATATATCTTATACTTTTTTACTCAAGCAAGAGAAGATGGAATACATCCTTCTACTGAATGTTTGAATGTGTTTTATTTTTTTGCCACCAACATTTGCACAAGTCATTAGTTCAAGGATTTCTCAAATTACAACAAATTCAGTTGAGAAATTTCAAACTTTTTTTTTGTATGCAATGTCACAACAACCAAGAAATTGGACAGTCAGTAAATCTGCTGAGTTGCGTCACAGCAAGAATGTCAACAGGGTGGTTCTCAGGTGAGGTTTTTCCCATTTACTTCAGTTTCCACACACAGTTCAGAAGCATGTATGCTAGGCTAGGTTGCTGTGATCCTAAACTGACCTTATGAGTGAGTCTAATTACACCGTGGCATACTGGTGCATGCGTACAAACATAGGGAAAAATAGGGATATTGAGAAATGTCAAACTCTTTCCTTCTCTGTTAATAGCCTAACAGTGACAGGAAAGATTATTTTGATTCTGCTTCTGTAGCCTACAAAACTGTAATCTCCATTCACAGAGGAACAGGTCTCAGAAATCACTTTGTGGGATGAGATTCGTTCCTCTTGCTAGCTGCACAGAAAGTTATTATGAGTTGGTAAGCAGTTTATTCATGTCAGCATAACTTGGTACAAACCCAGTTCTAACTTCACAGTTTATGGATAGTAGTTTCTCCAATTAAGACACAATTCAAATACTTTGTGACTGCTATGGGTAAAACCCTAGATAAAAGTAGAGAAAATAGACCAAAGGCTGGTGAATGCAAGACAATTTTTGTTTTTTGTCATCGTGGATTGAATAAATAATACAAACACCACTTCCTTTTTTTCTCCCTGAAACTGGGAGGTCCATTATTAGAAGGAAACTTGTTGGCACCCTGTGAACACTGAAAAAAAAATAAAATAGAAGAAGTATGCCCTTCTGCATAAAACAATAACAGCATAAAGGAGGGATTCGTCCCAAACCCAGAACTCACCTCTGACACTGTTTTAGTTATTGTTCCCTTACCTTACTCAATACTCACTGCAATATCCACTTCTACGTTCCACCAGTTTGTTTACATAAACTTGAATGGGCAGATTTAAATTATATTTTGAAATTATAACCAACTCCATCAAAACATTGATCAGCACCAACAAAACGGAAATCCCAGTTCACATGACGACCAGAATTACAGGAAATGACACGTCATACCGATTTCATTTGCCCTAGCTTTAACCCTCTGCATGAAACAACGAGGTGGGTCATTATGGCTTATATACATACTGCTGCACCAGTATAATATGTAGTGACAACAGCGCTATCTTCATCTGTCCCTGTTAAACCATATAAATCCTTACACTGTTAAACTCTCCTTGCTAGAATGACTCTGTTAAAGTCCACACTTGTGTTTGCCACATTATTCTGTCGCTTTTCTACAGCCTGTACGCAAGTCAAAATGTTCATCTATGGGAAAAAAAATTAATAAAATACACAATACTTTGAGAATAGGTGCACATCTGTAAGATTGGACAGTTTAAATTAGTAAGCGACAACATTGTAACCTGTAGAAAGAAAAATAACTTGAAGTTCAGCTCAAAAGCCCTTCATTTAAAACGCACAGTGAAACTTTTATTTTGTCCATCCATTCATACGGCATTATCACTCCTCTCCAGCTCCAAACGAGAAGTATGTGTTGCGGAAAATGTTCAATAACATGACAGTCTATGTCAGTGGTCCCCAAACTTTTTCCTGTGAGGGCCAAATAACTTTTCCCTTCTCTGGTGGGGGGCCGGACG